CGTTAAACAGTGCTAAAGTACCCAGTGTTGAAACTGAAAATGCGTTCAACACTATTAAAAATTGACAATTGACCAAATTTGATTGTTTTGATTTCATTTTGAGACTCGTTGGCAGTTTTGCGTAAAAATTGTTTTGCTTTGGAGCAAAACTGAGACGAAGTTTTTAAAGTTTGATGTACAAAATCCATTTAAGGGAGAAGAAGTTGAGTTGGCTTCGAGTTCGAAGTTTCATTTTATACAAAACATTCATCAAATTTCAGCTCTGGGGTGAAAGAATTAACTTGGTCCAACTGGAGGGAAGGAGCGTTAACTTGATTTTTTAAAAAAATGAAAAACTTATGACCCCGCAATTGGGGAACTTTTGTTTGTTTAACAAACAGCATCAAACAAAAAGAGTTTCGTTTTTCAGCGTCCGGATGGTTTTTTCAACGTCACATAAATATATTTACTGTCAGTGATTTAATAGGAGTAAAAACAGTATTCAAAATAATTGTTGGCACTTTTGAATACGATTTTGATTTTTGACACTGTTGTACTGCCCCACTCTGAGCTAAAGTTTCAAAACCAAGGTTCCAAAAACATTTTTGTTCCGATTTTTGAAAAAAATGAAACATATATATGCTCGGAGTAGTTTTTTTTAATACGGACCGTTATACAAAAATTTGACACCGTGATGGTATCTTTCACGAAATCTTCGGATTTTTTGTTTATTTACGTTTACGCTGCACGAATAATGCTTTCACAGTATCAATAGTATATGAACACATTTTGCCCCTTGCGCGTTTTGCCTCTAAAATGAATGCCACTTTTCGACCCCAAACGTTTCGCACCTCAATTTTTAAATTTAAAAAGCTGCAATTATTTAATTTCGAGCAAAACTACGTCAGTGAGTGGAAGCAAGAACGCAAGATGAGACGTGAAAAGAAAAAATGTCAAACTTTGGAGGGCTCAATAGTTTATCTCTTTCCAAACAAGTAATGCTGTGATTATCAAACGTTAAACTTGATTGCTTACGCTAATAAATGAAGTTTTTGCAACCTATTGGAGATGTGAAGACCGAATATATCCTGGCAGTATTAGCACCACGTACATACGAGCGGTCTTAGTTTTTCCATGATAAAAAATCCACATTTTAATGAATTTGAGTTTAGTTGTTACTAATTCATCGACTAATTTTTCTGAAAATTACAATAAATAATACAAAAACGAAAAAAAAAAGAAAAAAATATATGATTCAAATTTATCCATAGCGTCTTTAAATTGTTTTCAGAAGTGTTTTGTCGTTTTTTGTTAGCCGTTCTTAAAGGAAGTTAGCGTGCAGTAGTTTAAAATAAAACCTGCGAATGCTTGTATACACTTAGTTCTTAGTTGCCTCTAAGGCCAGCGTTTCTAAAAGTGACCGTTTTTGTGCACGATTGCCAAAATATGCTAAATGTGGTTAATGGCTTTTGTTTTCTGTCAAGATTTCTGACTGCAATTAGGAATTTTTCGTGAATTAGGAAATTAGGAAACTTTTTTGAAATATGTTGATGATTGAATACATTGTTTCCTTGTAAGGTCTTCTATTTTTCTCCTATAGGTTTAAGTACCGATGACCAATATTATTTACTGGGACCCAACTTAATATCAGTAATGTTTTTACCCCCTTTTTGAGAAGGGTTTTTAAATATTTATTAAGTTTTTTGAGCACTTTTAGAAATTCTTGTGAAAGGATGAAACTGTAAGTAGTTAGATTAACATATGTTAGGAAGCTTATTTTAGGTGAAAAGATCGTTAACTTAATTAAATTAATTGTTTTTACTAGCCAATTTGGTCAGAGAACGTTTCCTTTTATTTGGTATATAGTAGTTATAATAACAATGAGTTAAATTTTCATGAGATAAAGTTAGCAGAAAGCTGTCAAGGACTGATGAGCGATAGAGAAGATATTGATAACCTTAACTCTATCTAGGACTATCTGGCAATAGGGCGGTTAAATAGATTGCGGGCCCTAGAAATAGATAACCTCCGTCTTTAGCTTTTTGAAGTTGGAAACTGACTAACAGAAACTCACTTTCCTATAATTTTGCAATAACTACAATTAATTCTGTTGTTTTCAGACCTACATATTTAATAAGGAGTAGTTCTCTGCTCAAATTACACCTGTTTTACTAAGAGATACGTGGGGTCGGTTTTTAGATCCCTTTGTTTCAACTAGTATATAAAATTAAGCATAAGTCTCATTTTAGATGTTAACATTGATCATAGTCGATCTGGTCCTAAAGTTAAAATGAATTTTTTAAAAACAGATTAATTAAAAGGGTTGATTAATTAAGTATCAGTGAGCTATAAATGGATGAACAACTGTCTTAAATACCGAAATAGGTTTGGGGTATTTAGTTTAAGTTATATTAATTTAAGTTAAAGGAAAACATTAATATCTCATCTCTGTCAGTTCTGAAATGTTATACTTTTTTCAAAAGCATTTTTGTTTAAAGAAAAATTAGTGATAAATGAAAAAAGAAAAAAATTCCACTCGACTGAGCAAGTGGGGAAAACAAAAATTATGAAAATTCAGGTTGATTTAACTCTCAGCTATTTTGCTGAGACAAATCTGCACCTGCACTCTAGGCTTCATTTTCCCCTTTTTCTTCATACTTTTGATGAAATTGACATTTGCAACTTATTGATTTTTGCTATAAAAAATCAATAATTTAAACAATCAGGGCAATTTATCAGTGCCTTACTTAATTAAAAACTCAAAGTATTTTGTTAGGATCGCAAAAGAACTGGGGGCTTTGTCGCCGCGCTGTCTGCTTTTTAAGGCAAGACAGTACTTATTTTCAATATCCAGGCTAAAAGCAACAGAAAAAAAATGAATCCAATTTTAAAAGATTTATTTAAAACGGAAGGATATTTAAAATATTAGAAAACTAAAATAAACTATAAATTAGTAGAGTATTTGCAATACTACACGAGCAAACCTATGTCAGTGAGTGGAAGCAAGAACGCAAGATTAGACGTGAAAAGAAAAAATGTCAAAGGGCGCGATAATTCGTCTTTTTCAAAACAAGTAATGCTGTGATTATCAAACGTTAAACATGATTGCTTACGCTAATAAATGAAGGACGCAAAAATACAAACAAAGATTTTGCAACCTATTGGAGATGTGAAGACCGAAAATACCCTGGCAGTATTAGCACCACGTACATACCAGCGGTCTTAGTTTTTCCATGATAAAAAATCGACGTTTAAATGAATTTGAGTTTAGTTGTTACTAATTTTTCTGAAAGTTATAACAAATAATACAAAAACGAAAAAAAAGAAAAAAAGTATATTTAAAAAATAAAGTATTTAATCCATAAAGTGTTCAAATTTTCACCATGGTAATTGTAAGAATCGAACAGTTTAATTTTCTAAAAAAAAGGGTTGAGTTGTAGTATTGGAAATTTTACCCGGACAAAAGAACATTGTCCTAACTGTTTATTTAACAACCCAATTCTAAATTCGAGCCTGCCATTTAAATTTAAACCTCTTTTCACTAAATCAGATATTGACTGAGTTACTCTTATTAGGACTACAAAATTTTGTTTTGAAAATCCATTACTTCTTAAATACTTAACCACTTTTTCTCATTTTATCATGCTCATTATTTTAAAAAGGCGGCGATTATTAAGAAGTTGCTCTTAACTTCAACTTGAAACAAGCTGTATAAATTTTTAGCAGTCTTGCCGGCTGGACTGGAATCCCCTTTCTTTGATTAAGCAGAGATGCACTTGCAATATGATGCATCAGAGAGATTCATATGAGTTTTTATTAAGACAAAATTGAAGGCGGCGGTTTTAATCAAAGGGGAACTAGTTGAAAATTCCCTTAAAAGAAAAGGAGAATAAAGGTGCAGGTGAAACCTAAGTAATTAAAGATTGAATCAGCCGCCGGTTTATGCTTACGAGTAAAAAGACTGGTCTGAAATCTTCACTATTTCATTTTGCTCAGTCAGCAGCAAGTCCGATCTCTTAAAAATTTCTTTTTCGAATTAGATAATTTTTCTTTTCCACTTTTACAATAACATAGAAATAGTCTTTTTCCAAATAAAATAGAGAAAAAATTCTCGTTTAAAATTCGCTAAAACTAATAAATCGAGATACGCACAACCGAGGAAACCCGGATTTTAAGGACGAAAAGAACTACAACAAGGACACTACAGACGACTCAGCAGAAGTGCAGAAGTGGACACAACCAAGGATGACCCAAGAATACTAAGCAATCGTCGGCCTTAGTAAGAAGATAAAATACTGATGAACAAAATAAGATTAACTAAACCTCCTCATAGGTATATTTCTTTAAGCTGTTCGACTCATTTATATAACCTAATAACACTGTGCTTTGTATTTACCCAGCTAATTAATTCATACCTTTTCTAACTATTGTTTCTACTATAACTTTTGTCAAGACAACTTGACGATCTAAGGTGAGACTTATAACTTAGGATAAAATTACTAAGCATTCAACCAGCAATGAGCGCTTAGTAAAACTGGTGCGACCGCAGCAGAGAACTACTTTTTAAGAAATTTTTTTCCAACAAACTGAAAACAGCTTTTAAAAGTCAAAAAAAAATTATTATTAGGATCTGTGAGTATTTGTCAGATTAGTTCTCAACCTCAAAAAGCCACTAGACAATGGGTGTCTTTCGATAGAAACACAATTTCATTGTCTTCTACTTGACATACATTCCTAGCAGGGTTCTTGCGACAAGTATCCCCTGCGCTAACAGTCGCCCACGATATTCCTCCACCTCGAGGTCTATTATACGGCTTTCTAACTGACATATGCTCATGATTTTAACTTTTATCTATTATTACAATAATATACAAAATTTCTGAAAGAATCGTTCTCTGCCTAAGACCACTAGTAAGATATACCCTTTTTGTCCAGTAAACCACTAAATACATGCCGAAATTTCAGTTTAAAGTTATCATCACTAAAATTAACTAAACCCTGTATTCAACTAGAGTGCTCAAAAACTTATTAAATATCTTCCGTCCTTCTTTCGAGGGGGTTAAGTGGTCATATGGTCAATCTATGAGTACCTTTAATTGTATGATAAATTGAATTCTTCAATACAATATCTCAAACCATCGACACTTGTTGCTATTTGTTCTAATCCTTCATCATTTCTCGAGGCTTATCCTCAACTTTTTTAAACTAATTTTAATTGTACTCAGCTTAACGTAACTTATACCTAATCATCAATCAATGAAGCTACCAATTACTGAAACTAAGGGAAAAAACAACAAAAACCAAGAAGGAAGGAACGGAATTGGGTGTTTTTTAAATAAATTATTGGTTTTTAATGACACAGTTTGAATATACATCTAATAAACAATTAGAATACGCACTAAAACCAGTCTTAAACGTTAACCACATAATACCAAACACTAAGTTTTAGTTTCAGCGCAAAAATATTAGGTTTCACAACAAAAACTAAAGCTAAAACACTAACTCATCCACTTTATATTGATAAACCAGGTTTAAGATATCAAAAGACTCGTTTTTCTCGAAAATTTACATCTCCTTGGAGTTTAACAGTGCAATTAAGTTGTACCTTTGCTTGAGGGCTGGGGACATGTTCACCTGCTAGGGCAAATACCATTTTTCTATTATAACTTTGTTCCCAAGTTATTTGTATTTTGGTGTTTATATCAAAATAGGTCTCTGATGAACGAAAACAAATTTACATACCCTTGGAGCTTAGCCAAGCAACCAAACTTTAGCATGATAAATTTTTGCATGAAAAAGCATAAACAAAGTATACTATAGCTTTTAGACAACTTCAAAACAAAAAAAACTCAACTTCAGCTACCATAGTTTTAGGTTTCAGATTATCGTTTCAGTCCAAAGTTTTTGTAAAAACTTTAACAAAAAAAATAAAGTTTTGAGCCAATAATAACCTAAAAAGGCAAATAATTATATTGTTAATCATAACAAAGGCATCAATAAAACTTCACATAAACAAAGTTTCAGGTTTCAGCTAAGGTTTCAGCGAATAAAAAACTTAAAAAACTTTAAAAATTTTAGCAATATTTTTTCCAAAAAAAAATATATTTTTTTTTGTTTATTTTCTTATTTCATTATTAATAAGCTTTGTTAATAATCAACAAATCCTAGGAAGTTTTAATTACTCTAAAACATAATAACCAAATATACCAAATAAACCAACTTAACTTAAGAAAAAAAAAATAAACACCGAAAAAAATTAATGTCAACACATTTCAAAATTGACGTCAGCACAATAAATTTTAAACTCAATTTAGGATGCAAAGTCTCTAACATCGTATGGTATATCACTAACACTGAAAAATATCATATTAGTATACTAGCAAAACACGCTAAACCCTAACGACGATAAACACGAATTATACGTCTTTTTTCGACAATATTTTCCAGAAATTGACACAATTCTTCAGCAATGAAAAATACCAAGTAATCCAATTAATATACCGAAAGAACGATTAATTGTTTCACTTCCTATTGCTTTTTGATATCATCATATACCCAAGCAGAAATTTACTAGAATTTTAATCAATTTTTTTTGGAAACACAAATTTTTCCTCAACGAAATCTAAATTTCCCAAACAAAATAATAACAAGTTCATTAGAAAAATTTAGATATTCCATATATTGTTTATCATCACCTAGATAAATATTTATGTCTTGAATATGATGTAGAATGCTTTGTCCAACTTTTATCATGTAAGTTCAACAGGATTTAACTTAAAACTTAATTTAAAAAATAAATCCACAAAAATTATTTGGTATATCACCAACATCCAAAAGGATCAAATCACAAATTTGTCCAAACACGCACACAAAAATATAACTTCTATCTTGAAAAAGCTTAACCGGCCCCATAGAACTTTTGATCTATCCAATAAAAATTTGTATTCATTAAACCCAGCAAATCTCACAAAAACTTTTTAAAAAAATTATTTCAATCCTTACAACTAATCACTACACAACATGTCCATTTATATTTTATTAACAAAAGTTTCCATGAAATTAAACAAAAATGGCGGACGTAGTAGCATACCCAGATTTAGCTCTCGATAAGTTTACCGGCTTAGATCCAAATGAAGATGCAAGAGATTTTCTTGATATAGTAGAGAAAAAGATAGCATTTTCCCTAGGCACTAGACCAGCAGATGCAGGTGGCGACCAGGACGCATATGATAACAGACAAAGAACCTTATTTGGTTCAATATTAGGAGGTCCAGCCGCTCAATGGTATCAGGGATTAGCAGCAGATTTACCTTGGAACGATATAAAAGGTCAGTTCATAGATAGATTCACTGATGATAAGGATAAGTATAGAAGACGAATAGAAGCAGAAAACATAAAAATACAACCTGATGAGTTTATTAAAAAGCTACATATTTAAATGAAGCACCGCAGTAGACCGTGGATGGCCTAATCCAACTTTTAATGATGATCAAAGAACAGCAAAGAAAATGGAATTCTTTGTACGCGGATTGAGCCCGCCAGGCTTGAAACAAAAGGCTCATCAATTCCTAATTGAGAATCCATCCGCAACTTGGCAACAATTAAAAGATCATATTGCAATAAAAGACTTAAGTTTTGCAGTAAGTAGTGAGTTTACTGGAACAGCTTCATGTAGTGTTGATCATAAGTTGGGGATAGAAGGAATAAAGGATCAGCTTAAGGAGTTAACAGGACAAATGAAAGATCATAAACTAAATGCAGCCTATAATCCAAATGAACCCAGAAACAAACAAAACCATACTCGATTTTGTAATTGGTGTCGTAGGTCAGGTCATACTATCAGTGTTTGTTTTAAATACAGAGACCACAAAGATCAAAAACGAAAACCACCGCAGTATTTTCAGACAATTATAATTGGAGATCTCGGCCTCGAGAAGAAAATAGTTATAACAAACAATACAAAAGCTATAATCAGCAAAATAACAATACCAGACTATAGTCTCCATATCCTAGACAATCCAATAATAGAACAAATAGTTTCGATAGATCTCGATCTCAAAGTTTTGGATCAATAGATAGAAATTTCAAGAATAGGTTTAACGATCAAAACAACCCAAATTGTTATAATTTATAATATGTACAACACAAACTCAAGTAACTACAATCAAAATAGGAACAGAAGCAATTCTATACCCGATTGAAATAGAAGATCATTTTCACAAGACAATTATCGATCACGATACCAAAACAGACCCCACGAGAATAAATTTCCATCCTACAATAACCAAGCAAGATCTCTAGGTGATTCAAAACCATCTTCCAGAGAAAATAGCCGAGACAGAAATCCTAAAGTACAATTTAGTGGCAACAAAATCCATGGCTATTACAGCAATGACGAAGGCGAAGAACTTACTTTAAACTAGAACAGTCTCCGCAAGATGAAAAGTCATAAATGTATATCAATTTATATCATCATCCCGTCACAGACAAAAAAAATAATGTCCTCGAAACCCAATTTTAAGTGGATACTGGAGCAACTTGTTCACTTTTAAATTATGATACTTATTTAGAGTACGCAAAAACACAAAAATTTACACTTACTAAAGCACAATACAAAACATTTCCTATTAATGGACAAAAGTTAAATTCTTAGGATATACTTTTTTTGACGCTAGTTTTGATAGTAAAGGTGATTATTCTGTAAATATTCGAGCATGGGTTGCGGCCAAGGACGGATGTAAATTTAATAAATTAGGTATGGACTTTCTCTCTAATTCAACTAAATCGATCGACTTTTCAACACCAAAACTAGAACTTAAAATGTACCCAGGAGTGTCAGTTGCTATCAGCAATATGAAAAGCAAAAGCTATCCATTTATAAGTATTTATCAAAAAGTACATTGGGACCAAACTATAACTTTAGCACCAAAATCAACTCGTGTCATTTCATTATCCCCAGCTGACCAAGTTTTTATAAAGGGAACATCGTTCAAACTTGATAAAGACCTAAAACAAAAAGGAATATACACTTAAAACTTATTTTGTAACCATGACGAGAAAACATTTCCTATAATGATAAACAATCCTAAAGAATTGAAGGTCATTATAACCAAAAGTTCAATAGGGCAAACTTTCGAGGACATTGAAACTGATTCAAAAACAATCTACAGCGTCGCAGACAACATTGCTTTTATGGAAGTTTTGTTAAACAAAAGCGAACATCTTGATCATATTTTTCATGTAAGCGAACAATCAAAAGATCAACTGTTCTTCAAGAATGCTTCAATTAGTGAAAATCATAAAAACGCAAAAAGGAAAAAACAAAGAAGTTTTGAAACAAAAAGAACTAGATAAAACTAATACATACGGACTAGAAACAGAATTCAGCAAAACACTAAAGGACCTGAAACCCAAATCTGATCTAAATTCTACAACATATTTTACAGATACACAAATTCATGAAATCCAGAAAAAATTTGACAAGAAAAATCAAGAGTTTGTAAAAAAAAATGTGACTTTACTCACTCTGATATAGACCAAAATCAATTACAAGACCTAATGAGTATGCTTTTACAGAATAAAGACGTATATTCAGAACATAAATACGACGTTGGACTAATAAAGCAAAATTTCCATGTAAAGCTTTTACCAAACTCTGTTTTGACTAAGCAAAGACCATCAAGAGCTTCATTACACTACCAAGAAAAACTTAATGACTTACTAGATCAAATAAGTAAATCAGAAATAATTAGAGAAATGGGAAGTATTACCAAAATCAGATCTGAAATTATAAACCCAATTATAATACTTCCAAAAGGGAACATAGTCAAGCTCGTTATCGATGCGAGATACCTGAACTCAATAACTGATTTAAGTTTTTATTCATGGCCATTAGAACCAATAGGATCGTTCATAACTAAACTAAAAGTAAATTTCTTTACCACGAGTGATTTATGCTCAGCATACAATCAAGTACCTTTAACTGAGGAAACACAACAATTAACAAATTTTGTAATTGGATCAAAACAATACAC